AAACAACCTTGCTAGGAAGCTGAACAAACTAAATATATAAACAACCTTGCTAGGAAGCTGAACAAACTAAATATATAAACAACCTTGCTAGAAAGCTGAACAAACTAAATATATAAACAACCTTGCAAGAAAGCTGAACAAACTAAATATATAAACAACCTTGCTAGGAAGCTGAACAAACTAAATATATAAACAACCTTGCAAGAAAGCTGAACAAACTAAATATATAAACAACCTTGCTAGGAAGCTGAACAAACTAAGTATATAAACAACCTTCCAAGGAAGCTGAACAAAATAAATATATAAACAACCTTGCTAGAAGCTGAACAAACTAAATATATAAACAACCTTGCTAGGAAGCTCAACAAACTAAATATATAAACAACCTTGCTAGAAAGCTGAACAAACTAAATATATAAACAACCTTGCTAGGAAGCTGAACAAACTAAATATATAGTTTGTTCAGCTTCCTAGCAAGGTTGTTTTTTCACCTGCCTACTGTCCTAGGACTTATCTTTGGGGAGATACTATGTGGTCCAGGAACCTTATCTTACTTTAAACTTCCCAATTTTTTTCTTAACCAGTTCATAATTAATTTGATCATCATGTTTCCACCTAGCAACTGTTCAGGATGAAGAATAAATACTTATTTTGAAAAACTGAAGAAAAAGTAGAATTGTATGACCCAGCCATCCCATAATCATCAAAACTGAGTTTTCTTTTACCATCCCGGGAAGGCCCTACTCCCATCATAATAGTCTGAATAAACTCTGTTACTTTTTACACTTTCAGCCAATATTTTTTTAATATTCTGTCTTGATCTTATATAATTCTCTAAATGTTTTATCATTGTTCTCTTTGTGAACTAATAACCTGGGTTTTTCTTACAGTTACCTTTTTTAAATATTTAATTAATTCAGTTTCTCTATTCACAAAATATAATTCTTCTTACATATTATCAGAATTAGTCTTTTTTTAAATCTGTACCCAAAATCTCGTTATTCCTGGTCTCCATGTGCAGTATAAAATCAAACCTAATTGAGCAATGATCACTTGCACCTGAATGTTCCCCATTCTCTCAACAATGTTTGTTCAGCTTTCTATCAATGTTATTTATATATTTAGTTTGTTCAGCTTCTTAGCAAGGTTGTTTATATAGAGGTGTTGAAAGAAGATATTTATAGGGTTAAAGATCTTGTGTTAGATATAATTGAAAGAGGTGTTGAAAGAAGATATTTATAGGGTTAAAGATTTTGTGTTAGATATCATTAAAAGAGTTTAAAGAAAAACACAGAAAACTGGAAGTCAGTTATTTTTAGTTGAATATTTATCAAGCCTTCTCTTAAACACCCTTAGATTTACAGCATCCAATGACAACCCATTCCGAAGGGGAACCATCCTGTTAGAAAAATAAAACTGTTGTAATTGAAGGTGACTCGTGTCCTGCTAAAAATTATATTTGGATCTCTCAGTCATACTATTCTCACCGTTATGTACAAAATAAAATGATGTATCAATTCTGCCAATTCCCTTAACAATCTTAAACACCTCAATGATATCTCCTCTAACTCTCTCTCTCTTATGACAACCTTTCCATTCCAGGTATCATCTTAGTAACCTTTCTCTGAATCCTTTCCAACAGTTTAATGTGCTTCTTAAGATAAGGAGCCCAAGACAACACAGTACTTCAAATGAAGCCTAACCAGAGACTTGTATATGAATTTATAAATTCTCTAGACTTATATTCAGTACAGGGCCGGATTAAGGGCCTAGTGGGCCTGGATCTGAAAAATTATGATGGGTCTATTCTACAGTACCTTTTAAAACATAAAAATCAAGCAAAGATATTTCTATTTGACATTTCAGTGATAAAACTTGTAGTCCACAATTACATTATAACTTTACTTTCCATGTTTTTTCTGTTGACAGACAAATTTATCATTGATACAGTTTTTTAATGCTGCTCATACATAAATAATCTGGCAACTACAAGTAATCACTATCCAATCTATTATCAACATAAAATGACACAACTTTTATTAAAAACATGTACGTAGGGATATTATCATGAAAAATGTTATTCAGTGATGCTTTTTTTTTACTAATAATTCAATTGAGGAGCATGATAATAATTGTAAAGTTTACTATAATTTTAATACACTTAACTAACTAAACAGAATTTTATTCTTTCTTGAATATTATGAAAATAAAACGAAGATGAAATAAGAGAGCATGGTGCAAAGATATTTAAAAGGCACAGTATATTGCAATTTCTTGGGTCTGTTTGTTGCAGCTCCATCAGTCCCCGTCTTAATATGGCACTGATTCGACATAAAAACACCAAATTATGTAAATCAGCAGCACCCTCCTCACAGCCAGCAACACCCAAGATCTTAATATTCTCCACAAATTTAAATAATTTTACTGACCATTCTGTCAGCTATGTTTTTTGATGTAAATCAGAAAGAGCCCTAACACCGAGCCCTGAGGTACCCCACTCGTGACATTAATCTAGTTTGACTGAACTCAGTCTATAACAACCCTTCTCATACATCCAACAAGCCAACACTTTTGAAAGCTTTTTTTTTGTTCCTTTTACAAGCCTTAAACATGGCATCACGTGAAATGCTTCCGAAAATCCAGATTCATTAAATTCACCGAATTGCCAATATCTATATGAGTAGTAACTTCAAAGAATGTCAAAAGACAAATATGGCAAAAGTTTCTCCCAATGAAGCCATGCTAACTGTCCTATAGAACTTTAAACTTTGTTAAAGTTTCTCCCAATGAAGCCATGCTAACTGTCCTATAGAACTTTAAACTTTGTTAAAGTTTCTCCCAATGAAGCCATGCTAACTGTCCTATAGAACTTTAAACTTTGTTAAAGTTTCTCCCATTAGAGCCATTCTAACTGTCCTATAGAACTTTAAACTTTGTTAAAGTTTCTCCCAATGAAGCCATTCTAACTGTCCTATAGAGCTTTAAACTTTGTTAAAGTTTCTCCCAATGAAGCCATGCTAACTGTCCTATAAAATTGTAAACTTTGTTAATTTGCAAAGCATTTTTTTTTTCAGACTTTAAAAAAAATTTTCCCACTGCTGATGCAAAAGTGATATGTCTATTATTACCTGGACAATATTTAGTTTCAATGATATCTAACACAAGATCGTTTAACCCTATAAATATCTTCTTTCAACACCTCTTTCAATGATATCTAACACAAGATCTTTAACCCTATAAATACCTTGTGTTAGATATCATTGAAAGAGGTGTTGAAAGAAGATGTTTAAGCCTATAATTATCTTCTTTCAACACCTCTTTCAATGATATCTAACACAAGATGTTTAACCCTATAAATATCTTCTTTCAACACCTCTTTCAATGATATCTAACACAAGATGTTTAACCCTATAAATATCTTCTTTCAACACCTCTTTCAATGATATCTAACACAAGGTCTTTAACCCTATAATTATCTTCTTTCAACACCTCTTTCAATGATATCTAACACAAGATGTTTAACCCTATAATTATCTTCTTTCAACACCTCTTTCAATGATATCTAACACAAGATGTTTAACCCTATAATTATCTTCTTTCAACACCTCTTTCAATGATATCTAACACAAGATGTTTAACCC